ACCCCCCCCGCTCCACCCCCCCCCGCTCCACCCCCCCGCTCCACCCCCCCGCTCCACCCCCCCGCTCCACCCCCCCCGCTCCACCCCCCCGCTCCACCCCCCCCGCTCCACCCCCCCGCTCCACCCCCCCCCCGACTCCACCCCCCGCTCCATCCCCCCCCGCTCCATCCCCCCCCTCCACCCCCCCCCCCGCTCCACCCCCCCCGCTCCACCCCCCCCGACTCCACCCCCCCCGACTCCACCCCCCCCGCTCCAGCCCCCCCGCTCCACCCCCCCCGCTCCATCCCCCCCCGCTCCACCCCCCCCCGCTCCACCCCCCCGCTCCACCCCCCCCGACTCCACCCCCCCCCCGACTCCACCCCCCCGCTCCAGCCCCCCTCCCCCCACTCCACCACTCCCGCCCCCACTCCCCCCACTTCACACCCCCCCCACCCCCCCCCCCGCTCCACCCCACCTGCTCCTGCTGCTGGCGAGCGAGCTCCATCTGCTGCCGCTGCTTCTCCATCTGCGAGGCGGCGAGCTTCTTCTGCTCGTCGTGAGCCGCCAGCAGCTGCTCCCGCAGACTCGTGAGCTGCGCGATCATCGCCAGCAGGCGGCGCTCCTTCTGCAGCAGCGCCTCGGGGGTGCCTGCACACGCACAGCAGCAGCAGCAGCAGCAGCCACCGAGGTGAAGAACAACACCAGCAGCACCATCGCCACCACCACCATCACCACCACTGCCACCACCACCAACGCTGCCACCACCACTGCACCACCAACCTCCACCACCACCACCAGCATCGCCACCACCACCACCGCCATCACCGCCACCACCACCATCACCACCGCCGCCACCACCAGCACCACCGCCGCTGCCACCACCACCAGCACCTCCACCAGCACCACCACCACCGCCACCACCACCAGCACCACCAGCACCACCACACTCACCGCCACCACCAGCACCAGCACCACCACCACCTCCACCACCAACGCTGCCACCACCACTTGCCACCACCACCTCCACCACCACCACCGCCACCACCACCACCCTCACCACCACCGTCGCCACCACCACCACCGCCACACTCACCACCACCACCACCACACTCACCACCACCGCACAAATTTTGACTTAAAACTTTCGTGACTGCAGGAATTCATATTCCTGGTTCGTTCGGTACAGCCACGTAGATAGAAAATAAAAACAATAAAATGACATTAAAATCAGAAAATAAAATAAAAAGCAAAACAACCCACACTAGTCGTGTTTTTTTTCTGCTTTTATTTTTCATTTAGCTAGCCCCTCCCACCACCCAGCTAGCCCCTCCCACTACCCAACTAGCCCCTCCCACTCCCCAGCTAGCCCCTCCCACCACCCAGCTAGCCCCTCCCACTCCCCAGCTAGCCCCTCCCACCACCCAACTAGCCCCTCCCACTCCCCAGCTAGCCCCTCCCACCACCCAGCTAGCCCCTCCCACTCCCCAGCTAGCCCCTCCCGCCGCCCAGCTAGCCCCTCCCTCTCCCCAGCTAGCCCCCTCCCGCTGCCCAGCTAGCCCCTCCCGCCGCCCAGCTAGCCCCTCCCGCCACCCAGCTAGCCCCTCCCGCCACCCAGCTAGCCCCTCCCACCACCCAGCTAGCCCCTCCCACCACCCAGCTAGCCCCTCCCACTCCCCAGCTAGCCCCTCCCACCGCCCAGCTAGCCCCTCCCTCTCCCCAGCTAGCCCCTCCCACCACCCAGCTAGCCCCTCCCTCTCCCCAGCTAGCCCCTCCCGCCGCCCAGCTAGCCCCTCCCACCACCCAGCTAGCCCCTCCCACCCCCCAGCTAGCCCCTCCCACCCCCCAGCTAGCCCCTCCCTCTCCCCAGCTAGCCCCTCCCACCACCCAGCTAGCCCCTCCCTCTCCCCAGCTAGCCCCTCCCTCTCCCCAGCTAGCCCCTCCTGCCACCCAGCTAGCCCCTCCCACCACCCAGCTAGCCCCTCCCACCACCCAGCTAGCCCCTCCAACTCCCCAGCTAGCCCCTCCCACCACCCAGCTAGCCCCTCCCACCACCCAGCTAGCCCCTCCCTCTCCCCAGCTAGCCCCTCCCACCGCCCAGCTAGCCCCTCCCACCACCCAGCTAGCCCCTCCCACCACCCAGCTAGCCCCTCCCACCACCCAGCTAGCCCCTCCCTCTCCCCAGCTAGCCCCTCCCACCACCCAACTAGCCCCTCCCACTCCCCAGCTAGCCCCTCCCACCACCCAGCTAGCCCCTCCCACCACCCAGCTAGCCCCTCCCACTCCCCAGCTAGCCCCTCCCACCACCCAGCTAGCCCCTCCCACTCACCAGCTAGCCCCTCCCACCACCCAGCTAGCCCCTCCCACCACCCAGCTAGCCCCTCCCACTCCCCAACTAGCCCTTCCCACCACCCAACTAGCCCCTCCCACCACCCAGCTAGCCCCTCCCACCACCCAGCTAGCCCCTCCCACCACCCAGCTAGCCCCTCCCACCACCCAACTAGCCCCTCCCACTCCCCAACTAGCCCCTCCCACTCCCCAGCTAGCCCCTCCCACCACCCAGCTAGCCCCTCCCACCACCCAGCTAGCCCCTCCCGCCACCCAGCTAGCCCCTCCCACCACCCAGCTAGCCCCTCCCACTCCCCAACTAGCCCCTCCCACCACCCAGCTAGCCCCTCCCACTCCCCAGCTAGCCCCTCCCACCACCCAGCTAGCCCCTCCCACTCCCCAGCTAGCCCCTCCCACTCCCCAGCTAGCCCCTCCCACCACCCAGCTAGCCCCTCCCACCACCCAGCTAGCCCCTCCCTCTCCCCAGCTAGCCCCCCCCACTACCCAGCTAGCCCCTCCCACCGCCCAGCTAGCCCCTCCCACTCCCCAACTAGCCCCTCCCACCACCCAGCTAGCCCCTCCCACAACCCAGCTAGCCCCTCCCACTCCCCAACTAGCCCCTCCCACCACCCAGCTAGCCCCTCCCTCTCCCCAGCTAGCCCCTCCCACCGCCCAGCTAGCCCCTCCCACCGCCCAGCTAGCCCCTCCCTCTCCCCAGCTAGCCCCTCCCACCGCCCAGCTAGCCCCTCCCACTCCCCAGCTAGCCCCTCCCACCACCCAGCTAGCCCCTCCTTCTCCCCAGCTAGCCCCCCCCACTACCCAGCTAGCCCCTCTCACCACCCAACTAGCCCCCCCCACCACCCAGCTAGCCCCTCCCACCACCCAGCTAGCCCCTCCCACCACCCAGCTAGCCCCTCCCACCACCCAGCTAGCCCCCCCCACCACCCAGCTAGCCCCTCCCACCACCTAGCTAGCCCCTCCCACCGCCCAGCTAGCCCCCCCCACCGCCCAGCTAGCCCCTCCCACCGCCCAGCTAGCCCCTCCCACCGCCCAGCTAGCCCCTCCCACCGCCCAGCTAGCCCCTCCCACCGCCCAGCTAGCCCCCCCCCACCACCCAGCTAGCCCCTCCCACCGCCCAGCTAGCCCCTCCCACCGCCCAGCTAGCCCCTCCCACCGCCCAGCTAGCCCCTCCCACCGCCCAGCTAGCCCCTCCCACCACCCAGCTAGCCCCTCCCACTCCCCAGCTAGCCCCTCCCACCGCCCAGCTAGCCCCTCCCACCACCCAGCTAGCCCCTCCCACTCCCCAGCTAGCCCCTCCCACCACCCAGCTAGCCCCTCCCACTCCCCAGCTAGCCCCTCCCACCACCCAGCTAGCCCCTCCCTCTCCCCAGCTAGCCCCCCCACCACCCAGCTAGCCCCTCCCACCGCCCAGCTAGCCCCTCCCACCGCCCAGCTAGCCCCTCCCACAACCCAGCTAGCCCCTCCCACTCCCCAGCTAGCCCCTCCCTCTCCCCAGCTAGCCCCTCCCACCACCCAGCTAGCCCCTCCCACCACCCAGCTAGCCCCTCCCACTCCCCAGCTAGCCCCTCCCCCCACCCAGCTAGCCCCTCCCTCTCCCCAGCTAGCCCCTCCCTCTCCACAGCTAGCCCCTCCCGCCACCCAGCTAGCCCCTCGCACTCCCCAGCTAGCCCCTCCCACCACCCAGCTAGCCCCTCCCTCTCCCCAGCTAGCCCCTCCTGCCACCCAGCTAGCCCCTCCCACCACCCAGCTAGCCCCTCCCTCTCCCCAGCTAGCCCCTCCCGCCACCCAGCTAGCCCCTCCCCCCACCCAGCTAGCCCCTCCCTCTCCCCAGCTAGCCCCTCCCACCGCCCAGCTAGCCCCTCCCACCGCCCAGCTAGCCCCTCCCACCGCCCAGCTAGCCCCTCCCACCGCCCAGCTAGCCCCTCCCACCACCCAGCTAGCCCCCCCCACCGCCCAGCTAGCCCCTCCCACCGCCCAGCTAGCCCCTCCCACCGCCCAGCTAGCCCCTCCCACCGCCCAGCTAGCCCCTCCCACCGCCCAGCTAGCCCCTCCCATTGCCCAGCTAGCCCCTCCCACCGCCCAGCTAGCCCCTCCCACCGCCCAACTAGCCCCTCCCACCGCCCAACTAGCCCCTCCCACCGCCCAGCTAGCCCCTCCCACCGCCCAACTAGCCCCTCCCACCGCCCAACTAGCCCCTCCCACCGCCCAGCTAGCCCCCCCCACCACCAGGCTAGCTCCTCCCACCGCCCAGCTAGGCCCCTCCCACCGCCCAGCTAGCCCCTCCCCACCGCCCAGCTAGCCCCTCCCACCGCCCAGCTAGCCCCTCCCACCGCCCAGCTAGCCCCTCCCACCGCCCAGCTAGCCCCTCCCACCGCCCAGCTAGCCCCTCCCACCGCCCCAGCTAGCCCCTCCCACCGCCCAGCTAGCCCCTCCCACCGCCCAGCTAGCTCCTCCCACCGCCCCAGCTAGCCCCTCCCACCGCCCAGCTAGCCCCTCCCCACCGCCCAGCTAGCCCCTCCCGCCGCCCAGCTAGCCCCTCCCGCCGCCAGCTAGCCCCTCCCGCCGCCAGCTAGCCCCTCCGCGCCGCCCAGCTAGCCCCTCCCGCCGCCCAGCTAGCCCCTCCCGCCGCCCAGCTAGCCCCTCCCGCCGCCCAGCTAGCCCCTCCCGCCGCCCAGCTAGCCCCTCCCGCCGCCCAGCTAGCCCCTCCCGCCGCCCAGCTAGCCCCTCCCGCCGCCCAGCTAGCCCCTCCCGCCGCCCAGCTAGCCCCTCCGCCGCCCAGCTAGCCGCCCAGCTAGCCCCTCCCGCCGCCCAGCTAGCCCCTCCCACCACCCAGCTAGCCCCTCCCACCACCCAGCTAGCCCCTCCCACCGCCCAGCTAGCCCCTCCCACCGCCCAGCTAGCCCCTCCCACTCCCCAGCTAGCCCCTCCCGCCGCCCAGCTAGCCCCTCCCGCCGCCCAGCTAGCCCCTCCCACTACCCAGCTAGCCCCTCCCACCCCCAGCTAGCTCCTCCCACCACCCAGCTAGCCCCTCCCACTACCCAGCTAGCTCCTCCCACTCCCCAGCTAGCCCCTCCCACCACCCAGCTAGCCCCTCCCACTACCCAGCTAGCCCCTCCCACCCCCAGCTAGCTCCTCCCACCACCCAGCTAGCCCCTCCCACTACCCAGCTAGCTCCTCCCACTCCCCAGCTAGCCCCTCCCACCACCCAGCTAGCCCCTCCCACTACCCAGCTAGCCCCTCCCACTACCCAGTAATGGACGTGTCGTCACCTTTCACGTCACCGACGATGTCGCCGTCGAGACCAAGAATCCGCTCCCTCCAGTCGCCCGCAGTCAGGCTGTCAATGAACGTGGGGTCTGTAGACACAGGCAGACAGACACAGGCAGACAGACAGACACAGTCAGACACAGGCAGACAGAGACGATAGTATACAGAGCGTAGTCGGGGCAAGGCTGTCGATGAACGTGGGGTCTGTAGACACAGGCAGACACAGACAGAGACACAGGCAGACAGAGACACAGACACAGGCGATGGTATACAGGGTGTAGTAGAGGCAAGGCTGTCTATGAACGTGGGGTGATTAGAACGCTGCACTCATCACACACACGCCAAGTGCTCGCCCACAAATGAACCACCGTAGACCCCCCCCCCCGATCTAGTCAAAGAGCAGGAACCACCATCGCCGCGTGAACTCCGCTCATCCTCCTGCACCGTCAGACTGAGACATCAAACTGAGACGTCAAACTGAGACGTCAAACTGAGACTTCAAACTGAGACGTCAAACTGACACATCAAACTGACACGTCAAACTGACACGTCAAACTGAGACGTCAAACTGAGACGTCAAACTGAGACGTCAAACTGAGACTTCAAACTGACACGTCAAACTGACACGTCAAAGTGAGACATCAAACTGACACATCAAACTGACACATCAAACTGAGACATCAAACTGACACGTCAAACTGAGACTTCAAACTGAAACGTCAAACTGAGATGTCAAACTGACACATCAAACTGAGACGTCAAACTGAGACTTCAAACTGAGACGTCAAACTGAGACGTCAAACTGAGACGTCAAACTGAGACGTCAAACTGACACATCAAACTGACACATCAAACTGAGACATCAAACTGATACATAAAACTGAGACGTCAAACTGAGACATCAAACTGACACATCAAACTGACACATCAAACTGACACATCAAACTGAGACATCAAACTGAGACATCAAACTGAGACATCAAACTGACACATCAAACTGAGACATAAAACTGAGACATAAAACTGACACATCAAACTGAGACATCAAACTGACACATCAAACTGAGACATCAAACTGACACATCAAACTGACACATCAAACTGAGACATCAAACTGAGACATCAAACTGAGACATCAAACTGAGACATCAAACTGAGACATCAAACTGAGACATCAAACTGACACATCAAACTGACACATCAAACTGACACATCAAACTGACACATCAAACTGAGACGTCAAACTGACACATCAAACCGACACATCAAACCGAGACGTCAAACTGAGACATCAAACTGACACATCAAACTGACACATCAAACTGAGACATCAAACTGACACATCAAACTGAGACATCAAACTGAAACATCAAACTGAGACATCAAACTGACACATCAAACTGACACATCAAACTGACACATCAAACTGAGACATCAAACTGAGACATCAAACTGAGACATCAAACTGAGACATCAAACTGACACATCAAACTGACACATCAAACTGACACATCAAACTGAGACATCAAACTGAGACATCAAACTGACACATCAAACTGACACATCAAACTGACACATCAAACTGACACGTCAAACTGAGACGTCAAACTGACACATCAAACTGAGACATCAAACTGACACATCAAACTGAGACGTCAAACTGAGACGTCAAACTGAGACATCAAACTGAGACATCAAACTGAGACATCAAACTGACACATCAAACTGACACATCAAACTGAGACATCAAACTGAGACATCAAACTGAGACATCAAACTGAGACATCAAACTGACACGTTAAACTGAGACGTCAAACTGACACGTCAAACTGACACGTCAAACTGACACGTCAAACTGAGACATCAAACTGAGACATCAAACTGAGACATCAAACTGACACATCAAACTGACACATCAAACTGACACATCAAACTGACACATCAAACTGACACATCAAACTGACACATCAAACTGAGACATCAAACTGACATGTCAAACTGAGACATCAAACTGACACATCAAACTGACACATCAAACTGACACGTCAAACTGACACGTCAAACTGAGACGTCAAACTGAGACGTCAAACTGAGACATCAAACTGAGACATCAAACTGAGACATCAAACTGAGACATCAAACTGAGACGTCAAACTGACACGTCAAACTGACACGTCAAACTGAGACATTAAACTGAGACATCAAACTGACACATCAAACTGAGACATCAAACTGACACATCAAACTGAGACATTAAACTGACACATCAAACTGACACATCAAACTGAGACATCAAACTGACACATCAAACTGAGACATCAAACTGACACATCAAACTGACACATCAAACTGACACATCAAACTGACACATCAAACTGACACATCAAACTGACACATCAAACTGACACATCAAACTGACACATCAAACTGAGACATCAAACCGACACATCAAACTGACACATCAAACTGAGACATCAAACTGACACGTCAAACTGAGACATCAAACTGAGACATCAAACTGAGACATCAAACTGAGACATCAAACTGAGACATCAAACTGAGACATCAAACTGAGACATCAAACTGAGACGTCAAACTGAGACGTCAAACTGAGACGTCAAACTGACACGTCAAACTGACACATCAAACTGACACATCAAACTGACACATCAAACTGAGACATCAAACTGACACATCAAACTGACACATCAAACTGACACATCAAACTGACACATCAAACTGACACATCAAACTGACACATCAAACTGAGACATCAAACTGACACGTCAAACTGAGACATCAAACTGACACATCAAACTGACACATCAAACTGACACATCAAACTGACACGTCAAACTGAGACGTCAAACTGAGACGTCAAACTGAGACATCAAACTGAGACATCAAACTGAGACATCAAACTGAGACATCAAACTGACACGTCAAACTGACACGTCAAACTGAGACATTAAACTGAGACATCAAACTGACACATCAAACTGAGACATCAAACTGACACATCAAACTGAGACATTAAACTGACACATCAAACTGACACATCAAACTGACACATCAAACTGACACATCAAACTGAGACATCAAACTGACACATCAAACTGAGACATCAAACTGACACATCAAACTGACACATCAAACTGACACATCAAACTGACACATCAAACTGAGACGTCAAACTGAGACGTCAAACTGACACATCAAACTGACACATCAAACTGACACATCAAACTGACACATCAAACTGAGACATCAAACCGACACATCAAACTGACACATCAAACTGAGACATCAAACTGACACGTCAAACTGAGACATCAAACTGAGACATCAAACTGACACATCAAACTGACACATCAAACTGAGACATCAAACTGACACATCAAACTGACACATCAAACTGAGACATCAAATTGACACATCAAACTGAGACATCAAACTGAGACTTCAAACTGAGACATCAAACTGAGACATCAAACTGACACATCAAACTGACACATCAAACTGACACATCAAACTGAGACATCAAACTGAGATATCAAACTGACACATCAAACTGAGACATCAAACTGACACATCAAACTGACACATCAAACTGACACATCAAACTGAGACATCAAACTGACACATCAAACTGAGACATCAAACTGAGACATCAAACTGACACATCAAACTGACACATCAAACTGACACATCAAACTGACACATCAAACTGAGACGTCAAACTGACACATCAAACTGAGACGTCAAACTGAGACGTCAAACTGAGACGTCAAACTGAGACGTCAAACTGAGACGTCAAACTGAGACATCAAACTGACACATCAAACTGACACATCAAACTGAGACATCAAACTGAGACATCAAACTGACACGTCAAACTGACACGTCAAACTGAGACGTCAAACTGAGACGTCAAACTGACACGTCAAACTGACACGTCAAACTGACACATCAAACTGAGACATCAAACTGAGACATCAAACTGAGACATCAAACTGACACATCAAACTGACACATCAAACTGACATCAAACTGAGACATCAAACTGAGACATCAAACTGACACATCAAACTGAGACATCAAACTGACACATCAAACTGACACATCAAACTGACACATCAAACTGACACATCAAACTGACACGTCAAACTGACACATCACACTGAGACGTCACACTTAGACGTAACTCAGCTTATTGGAGTATATTTAGTAGACTGATGATACTATGTAGTTTATAATTAAGTTGTTTACGTGGTGGTTTAGTTACTGCAGCTACATACTATTAACACTCCTTCACTTCATTAATGCTACCCCTATCCCCTCCCTTTGATGCTGCTAATCCTGCATAATGCACGGGCATAAGTAGTACTAATCACAAACCTGCATTTCCCATATCCCCTCCCTTTGATGCTGCTAGTCCTGCATAATGCACGGGCATAAGTAGTACTAATCACATACCTGCATTTCCCATATCCCCTCCCTTTGATGCTGCTAATCCTGCATAATGCACGGGCATAAGTAGTACTAATCACATACCTGCATTTCCCATATCCCCTCCCTTTGATGCTGCTAATCCTGCATAATGCACGGGCATAAGTAGTACTAATCACATACCTGCATTTCACATATCCCCTCCCTTTGATGCTGCTAATCCTGCATAATGCACGGGCATAAGTAGTACTAATCACATACCTGCATTTCCCATTAATATGCAAAATTCCTCTTGATATGCAAATTCCTTTGTCAAGGCGCTCTTCCCCCTCCAACCCAGCTTATATATACGCTGCCAAGCTTGGTGGTGTTTCATTCAGACGCTGTCTTTCCGACAGACCTGTTCTTCACCTGAGGACGGCTGCTTGCGTTGTGGCCGAAATGTAGTGAGAATTATTTTATGATGTTTTATTTTTATTATTTTATTATTTCCATTCTGTGTGACTTTACCGAAAGAACCAAGAAGATGAGACGTCATCATCCACCGTCAAACTGAGACGACCGCCGCATCGTCTCGCGGCGCTTCTGCGGCCGTCTGGAACGCTCTTTGCCAGGAGATATTGGGAAGTCACTTGGTGCT